ACCAGCCGCAGGGTGGCCTGGGAGTCGTTAAGGCTCCGAACCTGGAGAGGGCTCAGATGTAGCGGGTCGGCCGACTCTGCGGCCAGTGTCCATGGGACTGGGGCCGGATTAGGGAAGAAGCCTGGGTTTGGGAGTGGAGATGGCATCAAGAAATCTGAGAAACGAGAACAGAAAGACGCTGCGGGAGAGTTATGGCCTGCAGAGGCTCCCGTAGCGTTTCAGGGTGGCGCTGCTTTCGGTAGAGACCTCTCCCCCAGCCCTTCCGGAAGCGGCATCTCTCCGCCCCACGCTGTCCCCGCCCTGCGGCGAGGCGGCTGCACCTGAGGGTTCTTCCAGCCGTACACTGCCTGGTTCCGATGGCCCACTACGAGGAAGTGAGCGTGCTGGGCTTTGAGGAGTTCAACCAGGCCGTGGAGAAGCACAGCGGAAAGACCATATTTGCCTACTTTACCGGTTCTAAGGACGCCGAAGGGAAAAGCTGGTGCCCCGACTGCGTGCAAGGTGAGACTGGGACCCCGGGGCTGCTGCCCAGCAAAAGTGGAAAGGCCAAGGCTACGGCCAGAGAGCAGGGTTTAGAAAAGAGGAGGAGGGCGTCTCGTTCCCACAGATCCACGAGACATCCAGAGCTGTCCCCTTGCCGCCTCTATTAAGTCCTTCCCCACCCTGCCTAGAGTGCTCGTTTACTATCCCATCCAGGTGATCGTGGAATCTAGTTCTTAAAAACTTTCACCCTATAGCAAAAACTTTTTAAAAATATCACCTTTCACTTCCCCATTATGTTTAGTGTCTTACAGGACCTGAGTCGGTCCCTTTTCAAAAGTCAGCAAATACTTATGCTTTGCATTGCTCTGGGCACTTTGGCTGGGGGCACTCAGGTGTCAGACGTGGTCCTTACCCTTAAAGTGGTTCGAAGTCCAGAAAACACCTTGACTTCTGTTGACCTTTTCAGTTAATCTGGAGCTCTAACTGCAGGCTAAAGTCTACTGGCGAGAGGAAAGAAGGGCTATTGTTCGTTAGTATCTAATTTATTGTAAATGTGTAATTTTGTATCAACTTTTTTTTTTTTTTAAAGCTGAACCAGTCGTACGAGAGGGATTGAAGCATGTTGGTGAAGGATGCGTGTTTATCCATTGCCAAGTAGGAGAGAAACCTTAGTAAGTAGCAATGTGTACTACTTTATTTCAGACATGTATTAGTCTCTTGTAAACTTGAGGAAAGCCACAGAGACTCACTCAGGTTCTGTGTTCCAAGGTAAAGTGTAAGTCAGTTAGAAACTATTAAATACAAATTTTAAATGAAAATGTTTCACCATTTGAATTAATGAGTTATTCAATGTACTTGGCCTCATGTAAGTTCACTGGCTTTACCTTTTAAAAAAAAATATTTACTTAATTTTATTTATTTATTCATTTATTTTAAGTTGGCCAGAAAGAGAGACAGAGAGAGAGAGAGAGAAAGTGAGAAAGCAAGCCACCAGGTTCAGGACTCAAACCATGGTCGGCCATGTGGGAGTGTCCAGCTCCTTAACCACCATGCCACCTGCTGGTCCCCACTGGCTTTACTTTTATTTTCTATCTCTGTCACATTTTATTATTATCATTTTTCCTTAGTCACATTCTATAGAAACTTTGCACAGAGTAATGGGTAAATCATAGTCCTTCAGGTGTTTTAAATGTTTACAGCAAGAACAATGATTAAAGACTAAATGTATACATCAAATATTAAATGAGCTGTAATATAAACCAAATTTTTTTCATAATCACTTCTTTCTGGAATAGTTGGAAAGATCCAAATAATGACTTCAGAACAAAGTTGAAAATAACTGCAGTGCCTACACTACTTAAATATGGAACAGTGAGTATTTCTTTAAATTTGTTGGGACTGTAATTCACTTTTTCAAAATTTTTTTTTAAGAGAGATTTTTGTAGTAGGGCAGTGTGCATTGAGGGAGACAGAAACCAAGAAATCTCACCCCCGCCCCAAGGGGGGATGGCCATATCACATTCCCTTCTCCTCTCAGGATCTTGGGCATGCACACACATGCACCTGGAGTTGAGTTTTAAGCCACCAGATCCCAGACTTGAACCGTGGTCTGCTACGTGGGAGTCCAGCAACATAACCATTGTGCTATCTGCTGGTCCCTCAAAATTCTTTTTAACTTGTTCTAACCTAACTTAGGTTCTGATTTGAAAAGATTTTGACATTCATCCCAAACGTCACATTACTATTCAGAGTGAATTTAAAATACACAAATTGGCTGTCTACTCCTGTGGCTGAATTATTAATGCAAATACCCAAATAGTTCTTTTTCTTGTTTTTAAGCCACTCTTCTTAGAAAATTCTACAGCCAGAGGCTGATTGACTGTTTTTTAAAACATTTGCATCAATGGTTGTTTTCTGTTTAATCCATAACTCTAGTTGAAAGAAAGGGCCACTCTAGTTTAGTCACGCCCCTGGGATTCTAAATCAGAGGGTTGAGGGGAAAGAGAGAGGATTGAGCCTGCTGGCTCCTGTATTAGGCTGTGGAACTTCCTGGTATTTTAGATTTAAGTTCCTTGAGGCAAGTGTTTTAATGATTCATCCTAAGACAGGTATCTTATGTATTTTATAAAACTTGTTATAACTAGTTAATAGTTTCTAAATGGCATAATTTCTATGTTCAAAGATTTGTATCATTCCATAGAACTCATTCAGCAGTTAAGGTGTGACTCTTCTTCTCTTACAGCCTCAAAAACTGGTAGAATCTGAGTGTCTTCAGGCTGACCTTGTGGAGATGTTATTCTCTGAAGATTAAGATTTGATTATGGCAAATGTCTTGATTTCCTGATTTAGTATAAAGAAACTTCATAATTGCTTTAAATTGATGTTAGCAATAACTAAATGATGCTTGGAAAATTGGTTTATATCTAAATAATAGATGGTATTAAAGTGATCACAAACCTTCAGTTTGCCTGGAATATATGGATATCTTCAAGAGATGAATAGAGTGAGTCTTTAAGACTGGCAGTAACAGCTCAAAGGAGTGTATTTTTTTGGAGGTGATAGAAATAGCTAAAAGTCCCTAATAGTGCAGTGAGAATTCCTAAAACTCCAAAGGAATTAGGGTCTTTTACCTAAAATCATATGAATTTGCAAACCACCTAAATTCCTAAAATCCCTTCTTTGGCTTTGGCATATTGACCTTAAGCTAGGAAAGCACAGTGCTGCTAATCAAGCCTCTGCTTAATAAAGGTAGTTTTGTTTTACAGCCATCTGAACATGCTTGGGATGAGGCAGGTGGCAGAGAAACCAGACTATAATGTGGTGGGAAGAACTCTAGCCTGTGAGTCAGCCACACGTAATGCTACCGCTTAGTAGCTGTGTAACCATAGGCAAGTTACTTTACCTGTCTAAATTTCAGTTTACTCCTTTATAAACAAGGATTGTTCTGAGGATAAAATGAGAATGCAAGGAAGTACTCAATGTGACACCTGGTTTGTGGCCCCTGCAGATAAATAAATGTTAGCTTTTCTAAATGAGCATAAGTATTAGAGGCTCCATATTTTTGTTCTAGTCTAAGGTCAAAAATCTGATTAATAGTTAACAACCACTCCTTCTGCCATCCCTAGATTAGGGGAATCCAGTGACTCTTCCTTAAAACCATCTTGCAAAGCAGGTGGTAATACAGGTATGGTCCTCTCTCCTTCACACAGCTTGTGCTCTACGATTTCAAGAGGTCACTGACTCCATTCCTCTCATTCTGTAGAGAACGTGGGTGGAACAGCTAATGTTAGAGACAGCAGGTTTCAGGAGGACTTGGCCAAGGCACTGCTATGTATCAGGCACAGAACTAGACTCAGAGTTCAGTGTATTTGGTGGCTTTCCCCTACCCCACACCTCCTCAAATGGGCCTAAAGCACCTAACTTTTCCAGTCTTACTCAGCTGGTTATGTTAAAAGTTAAAAACTTACAAATCCACAGGGAAATCAAAGAACGGTTCCACTTTAACAAATCTATTAACAATAAAAATTTAGTTGGATTAAAAAGCACACTAAAGGTTCTGGGTGCTGCCACAATAAAGGTAGGTAGGAAGAGTTTTGTTTTTCTTTGTCTTCACTGTACAAAAGGAGTACATTATATACATGTCTCAGAAGCCTGGTCTGTATCCAGCTTTTCATTTTCCTGATGTGTTATTTTGCTGTTGCTGCTCTGCCAGGGCTTGCTGAAGACGCATCCGCTTCCGGGAATAGTGTTGCCAGTGTAGGATTTGCTGTTCATCAATAAATTTCGCACACTGAGCATTCACCAACTCCTTTCGGAAGTGTTCATATTGGAGCAGTTCTAACATGTGTAAACACTGAGGGTACCTGGGTTTAAGTTTATAAGTTAATAATCAACATACTTCAGTCAGTAATGCCATGTTCTAATTCAGTTACTCTTAAAAATCATCTTGTATAGCCTACCATCTCTGTAACATTAACTTAGTACATTTTGGTAGTATAAGGGTCTACCCCACCCCCGCCCCAACTTACTCTGAAACTAATTATCATGAATCTGTATTAATAGAAAACTTTTCAAAAGGGAGAAAGTTTAAGTTCAGAAAGTTTAAATAACTTGCCCAAGACCACACAGCACAGTAAATGGTAAGCAGAGTTAACATTTGGGGATAAATCATCTAGTGTTTTCCAAAATGAAGAACGTAAACACTTTTTATTGTAGTAATTAAGTGCTTAAGAGCTATTGGTTTCTCATCAGCAGAAAATCTTTTCTAATTTTTGAAAGTGAATCAATTTGAAGAACTGTGCAAATACAGTTTTCCACAGGGATATAGCAATTCTGAAAGTACTTTATGTATAACTCTAGAATTGAGCAAATAGGTAAGAATACTGTGGATAAAGAAAGCCAGATTTGTGATGAAGAGGAGTTATAAGGCCAGTCCTGTGGCTGAGTGGTTAAGAGAGCCGGGTCCCACATGGACAATCACAGTTCAAATCCTAACTCAGCAGCTTGAAACACATGCCAGGTACATTTGTACATGTGCCCAAAATCCTAACGGGAAGGAGAAATGAAAGAAAAAGGATTGCAGTGTGACCATACCCCAGTGGGGGGATACTTCTCATTCTTTCTCTCCCCCTTGCATGCACTTTCTCCTCTGACAGTAGAAAAAGTAAATAAAAAAGGAAAAAGAGGTTATAGGTAAGGAAAGGGGGAAGGCTAGAATGAATCCTGTGTTGAGCCGGAATAAAACATCAGCATGTGCTCATAGCATATACACAAATGTAGAAATAGACAGTGTGTACATGTTTACATGTGTGTGTATATATATGTGTGTGTGTGTGTGTGTGCATACATATATATATATATGTAAATCTAGCTCCTAAGCTTTGTGTGCTGAGAGTGCCCAGAAGCAATGACAGTGGTGCTAATGAGCACACACAGTGCCTAGGTCAGTTTTGAAAAAAGCATTTTCCAGGGATCTTTGGAGATGGTTAATTCCAAGGCTAGAACACAGAAAGTACAAGAGCAGCCTGGAATAGTACATAGTGTCAGAAAAAGAAGTACTAAAAATTGATAGGGATACATCAAATGTACTGAGGAGCTAATGTTAAGGCATTCCCAATAGCCAAATCTGGAAAAATCAGACCAAGAAAATACATAGCTGTAATCCACAGGATAAAATAAATCTAAAAGTTCATACTGGTACAGTTTTTTAATAAATCAAAAAGAGAATGTCCTTCCTTACAATAGTATACTAACTAATAAAGCAGAATAGTGGAATCAGAACGTCACCACAGTAAAAACTGTTTCCGATAAGTGTCTTCAGCAGTGGGCCAAGATATGCAGGAGACAGTCACAATAGACTCAAAGAATTTCCCTAGAAGGTACTTATCAAATACATAAAGACTAATAGTAACTTGATATGGAGAAACATAGAAGGCATCGAGTTAGCCATGTGATCAAAATTAACATCACTTGTAATGGGACAGACAGACTTCATGTGACCAAGAAGGATAAATCACTTCCATGTTACGGTCATGGAGAAAAAAGAACACGAGAAAGACCGTGGAACTCAGATCAAGGGAGACTGAAAAGAAATAAAAACAAGATACAGAATATAAACCTAGACTGGATACTGTATTACAAGACACCAGTGGGACACTGGCAAAATATGAATGAGTTTCGAGATGAGGTAATAAAAATGAAATTAAAGTCCCAGTTTATTTTGGTGTTTAAAAAAAAATCCTGAAATCTATGCATAGTGTTTTCAGAATACCCATTTCCCATACACTTTTTGAATAGACCTCTAAAATATTTAAAATATTAGGGAAGAATACACAGGAATGCTCTACTCTTCTTCCAGCTATTTGGTAAGTGAAATTGTTTCAAATTGAAAAAACTAAATTTAAACTATGATAAATTATATAGAGAATACATAGAGAAAAATGTAAAATGTGGAAACTTGGATTGTCAAGAAAGTTATCATTTTTGCATAGAAACAGAAAAATACATGACAACTTTCCTAACAACCCAACTGTATACTAGAGCAGTGCTTCTTCAACTTTTTAAGTTCCTTTTTTTATTGGAATTCCTGGCTTACATATAAGTGTTGTACGCCTTTGTGGGATATAGCATGGTTTTTTTAAAGCATGTATCTTAAACTTTAATGTGCACATGAATCACTTTTTAAAATACGGATTCTGATTCAGTACGTCTGGAGGAGGGCCAAGTTCTCTATTTCTAACAAGCTCCCAAACAATATCAACACTGCTGGTCTGAAGACCACATTAAATAACAAGACTTGATACCAGGCTGTCTTTCCAAGATATAAAAGGTTTCCTATCTACACTTCAAAAGTGTACAGTTGCCACCCTTGCCGAGCGAGGCGGAGGCGGGTGGAGGGGCCCTGTGCCGGCCCACATGGG